TTCACAAAAATTTAATTTTTATAACATTTTTGTCAGATGTGAGGTGACTGCAATTTTAACATCCCCCTTATATGGCATTTACACTGCCCTCAAATAGCTCATTTCAAATGAGTCATTATTTCAAATGAAAGTGTTTACATTCGTTGTAATTCATTTATTCTCATTTCAAACAGCTGATTTTTCAACTTGCCTGTTGATTTAATTTTTGTCCTGTGCCAAAAAAAATGTTGGAGGTTGAATGTTGATGGTTGAATATATCTTCAAATCTTACAATATAAACTAAAAACTTATTTCTAGCTTCGATTAATTTATTTTTGAGGAATAAAAGTTCCAAAAAGAAGTGCATCGTTTTCAAGCAAATGCAACCACCAAACATTTGTTAGCCTTTTTTGTAAATATGTCAAAAACAGCTTTCTCAAACTGTCAAAATGCCATAAAACGCTTTTATTTAGGGTATATTGATGTTCAATTGCATTTGGAACATATTTGGAACTCATTCTAACCTCGTTGGAACTCATTTAAACAGAATGAAATCCAATAGATCTCATCTGCGGTTGAGATTTAGTATGCAAAAATGGGTCATTTGCTTCTCATTTTTGATTTTGTACCAAAATGAGCCATTTAAGGCCAGTGTAAATGCCATTTTAGATAGATGTGACTACGCCATATCAGACCTAATGCGCAACCTCACTTTTGCACTCTTTCAGAGCTGATTTAATTTAGTATTGGACATATTATATATATAGCAAGTGATAATAACACTCTCTTTTGTATGTAGTGTGATATTAAACTAAGTGGAAATATAACAGAATATAATTTATTTAATATATCTTATATTTCGCAATTTTTATATATTAAAATAAATACGTTAATGCTATACCATATTAATTTTACGGCCAACCCATGATGGTGAATGTGTTTTCATTTATTTGTTTTTCAAAAACTTAAGACTTTGAAAGTAATTTGCGGGAAAAACAGAATTATAGATAGACTGGGTTATATGAACTTAATTACCCAAGCTGACCACTAATAAGCATTTTTTTGTGGGATCTACAGTGTTTCTTTCAATGCGTTACAAAAATCTTGGCAATAATAATCTACTCTTTTTACACTATTTTGTGTAGATGGTATATGTAATACGGGGTTTACATTACGAACTTTGCTGGTGCAATCCGACTTTGAGCTCAAAACCAGTAACCAAAGCTGACTTTGTCATATAAAAATAGACACAACAAAGTTCGAAGTTTCACTGAAAGTTACAGTATGTTTTCACTGGCTTCATTAGACCAGTTAACTTACTTGAGATTATTAAGTAAATTTGATTAACCATACAAAGAGCTTCCGCGCTTTTTAACTTACTTACCGAATGCCAAATATAACATTATAAATGATCGAAATTTGACATATTGAATATATGAAACAAAATGTATAAACATAAATAAACAATCAACAAATCAAGACAAACAAGAGGTAAGAATTTTTATAAATAAAATATACAATTGATATATAAAAATATATTAATGCGTTTATATATCAAATATATATATAAAAGCAATCTTATTTGTTGTTTTAAAAACTTTCTGACACATAAAAGCTCTTTTACATGTAATAAGTAACATATATCAATGTGAACGATAAAGTCTTAAAGTTACTCAAGTAACTTACTTGAGTAAGTAGTGGAAACATACCATTATAGCATACCATAAATATTATATATTTATAAAATATTTTTAAATATGCTTACATATGTCAATTTTCATTCTGCAATAAGTGTCTGCGTCAAATTTTAAACATATGGTGGTTTAACCACATCAGTAATGTTGATCTCTGCACCTATACTAATTAAACTCCCGCGCAAACGAAAATATCATTGAATTGGGCATATTCTCCGCATAACGAACGAAAACATCACCCATCAAGGAGTTCGATGAAATCCTCAAGGCGGAAGTCGGCGTGTCGACGCACCAGCAAGAACATGAAGAAGATCAATACAATTAGAAATGGAAGCTGCAAATTACTCCTGGAGTGACATTAGCCGTGAATTGCGCAATACAGTTTGCTATAAGAGAATGGTCGAGGTCCCATGCTCCACTGGGAGATGAAGATGACAGAAGCTGTATATTTACATATATTATAATGTATTTATACAATATATTATATTTATATTGCCATATAAATCAGATTCAAAATATGTATAAAAGACATCTAAACTTCCACAAAGCCAATGCTGACATCTTTACTTTTTAGTATAATATATCTAATAAATGTTAACAAGTGTTATTCTGTTGTATTTCTGTTGGTGAACATTGAACATTACATTTAAAATAAATTGTAATAATCTAATGTCTAAACATTAAATTATTATTAAAAAATTTAATGCTTTCTGTTTTTCACTATCAGTAAGTCTTAAATAGGAATTATATCCATATGTGAACTGTAAGCTCTATATAATAGTAAACAGGTTAAATATATTTGTATGTCATACAAGTTTAAACTTTTATGTAAGATGTGCCCATTTTGCACATGACATTTGAAAACCCCTTTGACAGATTCACATTTTCTAATGTTAAAAAATTCCAAATTTGATACGGAAATCTATAACTAAGTAAAGTCTTTTTTGTGCACTAGGAAATTCGCTGTGAAAATAGCGTCAATTCAAGCATATTAAATGGATCGCCATTGTCACTTAATATCTATATCATAGCATTCAATAAAACCAAAAGTATCGTTCCTTCATATAACCATATGCAGTATTTAATACATACGGATAATGTCCTCATATGCAAGGTTCAGCCTAAACTTCATAGGATCAAAAAGGATTTCTTTAAAATTTCTACTATAAAAATATTATGATCATTAATATTATTATAAATATTAATATTATTGTAAATATATATAATTATAAATATTATTATTATAATAATTTATTATTATTATATTATTATTAAAACGCTAATGTTTCATATGATAAGTTAAATGTTAAAGTACATTAAATGTATCAAAATCTGCCTACCTACCCGGATAGTCATATCAAATATTTATCATCAAAAATTTCTCATGCAAATATACATATATACTAGTATATGTTAAGTTTATTGTGCGAAACTATGATCTTTATATTAAAATTGTTTATGGTATTGTCGTATATAGATATATAGTATAGCAAAAACTTATTTATAAATAACATCGGTTCTATGTTCTTAAAGAATATATTTAATTTTGTAGAATGGAGTAGAGTCATGTGCTCTCCTGGATAAATACAACCTAATGATAACATGCACTTATTCTAAATAGAACTTCGAACCCCACTCTATTACACTGAATTGCAGTTGTCCAAAGAATCAGGTCTAAGCTTAAAGCCGACGTTTATCTCACGACAACTTTTTCATTCTGGATAATGAAAAATAAAATTATCTTCACCAGAATAGTTAGCCTTCCAAAACTTAATCCCACAAAGCAATAACAAAAAAAATAATTAAATAATTTTAGAAATTTGTAATATACTCTTCCAGAAAAGCGAATAAAAAAAATTGGTACTATCATATTAACAAATTTCTTAAAATAAATTTATAGAAAAATTGAACCGCAAAAATCTGGTAATAACTATAGGAAAACTATATCCCATGGATCTTGAAGGGAATCGGTATACAAAACTTTACTATATAAGCCATATTTACTATATATGCCAAATTATAGTGCAGTAACCACCCAAATTAGAGACCAGCTTATATAACCCATTACGTATAAAGCAAAAAACTTATGTAAATAATTTCAGCATTCTAACATTAAAAGAAAAAACGCAAATAGAAGTATAAAATTAGTAATAAACCAATAATTACACTCTTCCAGAAAAGCGAATAAAAAGAATGGGCACTACAATATTAACAATTTTCTTTAGCACATAATTATATAAACTTCATGTGAGAGGTTCCACAGTAACAATATATATTAAACAAGATGTGAATAAAGCCAAGGTTCCACTGTGTCACAAGCCAATACTTGCTATGTACCTTTTCTGTAGCTGTACCTATAGATAAATATCCCACCCACTACGGAACTGTTCAAAAACAAAAAAAAATAAAAAGCATAGAAATAAGCAAAGAACCGACAGTCCTGATTGCTAAATTCGTGTATATTTAGTTAGGTTTCAAAATTTATTGATAACTTTCTATATAAACAAAAATTATATCATTTTTATGAGTTACGTATGCTTATACCCCATTGTATTTAATGTCAATTTTTATTTTAAGGAGTACTTCTTTGTTTATGAAGATGTCAAATATTAAAATAATCCTAAATGTGTTCAATCAGGACAGAAAATGCAATAATTCAATTAAAACAGAAGTAAAAAAGGCAAATATATAACAAATTCTATTTTTTAAATAAAAAGGTACTCACGAAAACGGTATTTATAGTATTTGGTAATAATAAACATAAATAATTTTCAAAATTGAGGTTTTTCATTTGTACACAAATTCCTACATATATGGTCAACAAATATATTCGGATTATAAACTAATTAAACAATTCGAATATTTCCTAAGACCACTGATGATGAGTACTTGACAATACTCAAAACAGCGTTGTACGGTCAGCCAAATTTCAATAAATTAACTAAAATTTTTGTTGTTGTCAAAACAGCGTTGTACGATCAGCCAAATTTCAATAAATTAACTAAAATTTTTGTTGTTGTCTTTTCTGTTTCTATTTGAACCTTTCTTTTCATTTCTATTTCTGACAAGTAATAATTATGTGTGCAAGCAGAAAGTATCGAATATAAGAGAATTTGTTGTGCAAAAAAGAGTGTTGAGTATTTGTATCGAAATATTTCTAATGCTAATTCCCGGAGCCGGATACCGCTGAATGATATTTAATTTGGCGACCTAAAAAACTAATTCTCTAGTCGATATCACCTTAATATTTAATTTTTTTATAGTAAGAACTTCGTATTTATTGAAATGGATGCACTATATGGATAAAATTTACACATACAAACTTACCTCAGAATTACTTGTTGCAACTGAACTAATACTTGGTGACATTGGAGCAGAAAGTATTGGACTATTTCGCATTATTAAACCTGTGGCAGATCGAGTACTTGCAGATATCGTAGTTGTCGCACTAAGATTTCCACTCTGCCCCATCGTACCGCTGCCTCCACCAAATGAGTTATTTTTAATAAATATATTATCTGGTCTATAGCTTTGAAGAGAGCTTTTATCGCCACTACATGACAAAAAAAACTGTCCCTGTTTTTTTGCCGAAACACCAGATTCTTCACTAAAACCATTGCTGTTATTGTTATTAGTATTATTAAAAGTTGAATTACTTTGGCTAGCGATGGGAGATGATGCTGCTTCGTTGTTCTATTGTAAAACAAACACACATCAATTTTACGTACAATTTGTTAATTAAAGTAATTAATTTTTTTCGTGTAAATACTACTTGTACGTACCTCAAAAATAATTCTATCCCACTTATTTTGTTTAAAAGATTCACTTAAGTACTGGCGCACTTGATTCTTTTGCTTTTGAATAACATGATAACGGGTAGGATTTTCCAAAACTGTTGAAACCTTTAATAAAAACAAATATACAAATTTAAATCATATTTTAATGTAATTTAACTGAAATATATTTGCATTTACTGATTTTTGGTCTTCGAGCACCACGATTCTGTTACGAGTATTCTCGAGCTGGTCAAATATTTGGTTCGAACACTTAAACTACTCTGAAACGTTCGAGCTGCTCGAAAATGTGTGAGCTATTTGATCAGTAATTTGAATTCTGTTTGTAAAAATCTTGCAAAAAGACTAGCCAGGGTTATGTTTCAGTTTTATACAAATATATATATAAATATATATAATGCTCGAACACCATATAATTTTCGAAAATTTCCGATAACTCGCTGTGCTCACGCTAAATGCTTAAGCATCAAATACTCTAATTTACTTACATGAAAAACTTGTGGTGGAACATCAACTCCAATACAGGGACTATTTTGCATCATGTGCACTACATCGTTAATGTTGCCGCTATTGGAATTACTGTGGTTATGATTGCATGTGTTCCCATTGTTGGTGTTAGTTTGGTTAGCATTAGGATTAGAACTTGTATTACAAAAGTTTTCGATACTATTTCGATTTAGGCATTGTTGCGATAACACATTCTCAGGAATTAGGTGACTTTCATTTGAATGTGGCTGGCGCATATGCTGTTGTAAAGCAACAGCAGCAGCGGCAGCCTTTTTTTCAGTATCACGACGTTCCAACTCCTGTTGCTGTTGTTCTCGCTGTAATTGCAATTTAAGTTGTGTTCGGGAAGTAGGAGTTATCGTTTTAAAAGTTGGTCTGTAAATATAAATACATAACGGTAAAAGTTTTACGAAATATTATATATATAATACCCGATAAAATAATAAACAATCAATTAATAATACTAAAATATATTACACTTTTGCAATTTAGCAATAATAAACCCACCCTCCAGTTAATGGTGGTAAACCAGTTACTATGTTTTCAACGATCGGAGAGGTAACAGCCATATCACCCAAATCGACAATTGTTGGGTCCATTGCCAAAATCATCTCTAAATCTTTATCAATCCCAACTGTTACACGAATATTAGATGAATTATTTTTTCCTGTCCGTGTTAATGCAGTACTTGGCAACTCGTTATGTTCCGCATGGTTGTGATGGTGCTGCTTTTCTATGTCTATGCTTTCATTGCTAACTTCTTCAAAATCCATTATTATGGAAGGTTCAATACCCATTTCTATACCGAGTGCATCATTCATATTGTTCTGCACTGGTTGCTGCTCAAATTTGTTAGTAATAGAACTTGTGTTTGAAGACGACATTTGAAGTGTTTCAACACGTCTTAAGATTTCGAGAAACTCTTTAATGTTATCCTGTTTCGATATCGGTATTTGCTTAGAGGAGGGATTGTCATTATCCTGCATTTGGTTCAGTTTTTGTTGTTGGCATTCGTGTAAATGACATTGCGGTGCATAGATATGCACTTGCTCAATATCGCTCGTTTCAGTTTCTGGTAACGGTGGTGACATATTCAAAATATCACAGGTTTTCTCATTAGTACTGTTATGTCTATCGATATTACTGTTAGCAGTAACTTTTTTCCCCCAATAGGAAAACATTTTCATATTATTTTGTAAAATTCACTAACATATATGTATATTGAATAAATCCATATGTACTATTTTTGATTTTTTTTATATATCGAATATTTTGATTTTATTCCGTTTTCTATCTTTAGATAAATAGTTTATATATTTCTACACGTAAGCGTGTAGCGTGTATATTATATTCAAATCGGCGTTCAGAATATTTTTCATACAATTTCTTTATTATTTTTTAATATTTTAAATACTTGGTGCATTTGTTTCTGAAATCTGAATTTATTTTTCAAAAATTAATTTACACAACACTTGTTTAATATGCAATATATATAGTTTGTATATATTTTTCGGTAATGTTCTCATAGTCATTATTTATAATGTATCATTGGGCCTTGATCTTGTACTAAGAATGCTTCACTCGCATGTAACCAACTGGCCAAAAGTGTCTAATTTGTCTCTTACCAAATATTACTATATGTATTGGCACGAATGTACAATATTTTCAGACGTTGCTTCTCGCTGCATTCATAATCAACATCACTTCTTAGGAGAGAGCCACTTAAAGAGGAGAAAGCAATATTAAGTTAGTATGATTGCAGAATTGGTGTTGGAGAGAGTGCTGAGCGCCAATCACCTTGAGTATTTATGCTCTTTTTCCCAAAATTCATGCGCATATTTAATATTTATTTGCCGTTATAGTTAATAATTCATTAATATAAGTTCTTGATACATGTAGTTATATTCTACTTCTTCGTTAAATTTCAAATTTGGCATTAAGTGAATCACTTCTATTCGTTATAAATTGAGCGCGATTAAGTTTAGTACATACGTTAGACATATTTATGGATTTCAATTTACAGCTACATGTTTGTATTTCATTTTATGATTAAAAGTTGCGCATGTCGGTGTGAGCGGTCTTGGATATTGTTAATTGGTTAACAATTAATTACTTTATATGTATGCGCCGACAGATCTGTGTTCGAATGGAACTGATAAAAGTTCATTTTTTGCATTTGTATGTCTCTCGTTACGAACATTCAAGTTTCAACTAGAAAGCTTTTCAGAATTGCCATTACACATCTACAAAATATATTGTTGATCTGCTACAACCAGCACTATAGGGCTGTAACATAAACTATACTAAATTTAAAGTCATAACCATTTCTCCTTAATTAGATCAATTCAATTTAATATACATGGTTCATATCGAGTTAGTTTCCATTTAAATGACATTTCAAACTCTGTACAGAAATAAAAGGTAAAAACCGTCTATTCTAAACAGTGGCGTAACTACAGGGAAGCAACTGGAAGCAACGCTTTCGGGCCCCCGAATTTAGGGGGCCCCACTATAAATTTTTGTATTCATTGTATTTATTTTTAATAAATTCTCAAAAGTGGGACGAAACGTTTTTTGTTGGATTAACTTCATGTATATGTATGTACTTCAAATAAAATATTAAACCTATTTATAAAATAAAAAAGTTTTTCTAAGAAAAATATGTGTCTTAATCGAGAGACTTATATGGAAGCTATATCTAGATTTAAACCTATTTGAAAATAATTTTGTACGTTGTCTTTTGCAAATATCAGTACTGTATACACCAAATTCCATTTGAATACCTTTATTAAAAACGGAGAAACCTCATATCTGATTGTTAAGTTTATATCACAGATACAAGAAATAGACGTCCAATTTCAATCAAACCAAATGGCTCCCGAAAAGTATGTGTGTAAAGTTTCGTTCGAAGAGTTCAAAAGCTGAGAGAGTAGTTTGAACTGAAAAAGTATATATATATTGTACTGATATATACTTAATGATATTTCCGATGTTTCCTTTAAAGCGTTACGAAAATCTTGACAAACCTTATATATCCTTTTCACATTTTTTCGTGTAAAGAGTATAAAAAGAGGGGCCCCTTAGTATGTTGGTAGGGGCCCCTTAGTTAGAATTTGCTTACAGGCCTAAAAAATGTAGTTACGCCACTGATTCTAAAACTATGAACTTGTGATGTTTTCAAATTATAATATTATTCAATGTGTACGACACACACTGGAGTTATTCTTTTCATAAGCCCTGTTATATATATATAACAATACATAAAACACAAGACCATTCTAAGAGCAATTTGCTTCGGTGCAGAAGTATATATACTTTTTCCAAATATGAGTATTTAAGTATTGCTTTGAATTGATAAGGTTACATTTTGTTATTAAATACATAAGAAATAAACTGCAACTAATTGGAGCAGTTAATCCTTCAGTCAACTAACCATAACAATGACCAGCATGGTATCTGATTTTCTATCTTATCGAACCATCAATTGAACTTTTACTTCTCTTCTCTGTTACAAATGGTGTCTGTTTTAAGACGATTCCACAGTTTTTTTTAAAGCTTTATTTTAAATTTCTAAAAATAATATTTTAATCATTGATATTTAAGTAAGTATATATAAATTCAATCACTTTTGACTGTTTGTTTATTAATATTGATGGGATAACATCGTATTCATTGTCGTAGTTCATAATTTCACCATCTACCATATGAGCAGTGTTCATGATATCAACTAATGCCGTCAAAAAATTTGGTAGGGCAACAAATTTCGCATATGTGTATTTTATTTGTAAAGATAGTAGTTCTTCATATCATTCTATTAATTGCATGAGCACGATTATTTTTTAACAATTGTGGCTTTTATAATATAGGAGCGTGTGCTTACTTAAAACTTATACATTGACGTTCACATTTTTTAAAAATTCTATGTTTCTATGTAGTTCTACTTACATCTCATTTGAATTAATTTGGCTTGGAGTTGACTTCAACTCATAGAACTCAACATTATCCGTATTAAGCCCAGCTAACACTGGAGACAAAAAATTAAAATTATCCTCTGTCATCAAATCATTGTACTCAATGTCATAATCAAAGTCCATATCTATTCCGGACTCTGCCATCTTGATGTGACACAAATAAGTGCGTTTATTGATAAAATTATAACATGTAAGTGGTTCTGCACTTATGCCATCTCAATACGTAGCATCTAAGTCTTAATAATTAGCTTTAATACGATTGAGAATGGGCTTCTTCATTAATATTCATTAATATTTTTTATGTTTAAAATTATCTAAACATTTTGATTTTTTAAGTTTCGAACAGTTGCACTTGTAACATACAAAATTATATTAAAAATACTAACGAATACCCAACGACACACGACACTCATATATACGCTGCTTATTTCGCGATTACCAACCAACAGACTACCACGACAACCACAACTAAACGAGAAGCAGTGCTTTGTTTGTATTTCGAAAAGGTCCCAGCTTTGCAGTTTGGCTTTTACTTTTTTTACCACCATCAAACAATTAACGATAAAAAGGCAATAAATTAACAGTACAGCACTAAATAAGTTAGGTCGTTAATGCTTTCAACACACTTGTTGTTTGCGTTGTTTTTAAAAGCTTCTAAACCTGCGAACTCACCACGTACGAGTATTACACAAGCAACAAATATTTAATTAAAAATTGATATGTAAATAAGTACGAAGTGAGACATAATTTTAAGTTTCAGGGTAATACCTTTTTAATTATACAAATTTTGTTAGCAAGTTTGAAAGCTTATTTATTTTTATATTTCCTTTTAGTAAAATAAACCACCTTCTTACAAATTGCAGAAAATTAACCTAAACTCAAACTGATTCCAACACAATTTAACAGCATTAAAAATGACAAAAATTTACGTTGATTGTTTCACATTTTAAGTTTTTTAGCTTAGTGGTTCTGAGATAAGTGTATTGAAAGCAATTATTACATCACTGCCTAATTATCCTATTAATACATTAAGTTTTTAAGACAGCTTTTATTATTCATACAGTTTCTATAACTTAATCACAATTTTATGCATATTGTCCATCGAAATTATATCTAGTTTTGTACAAACACAAAAATAAAATCCATAAATTTTTCAATTATATTAAACTAAATAACAAAACAATTCTTATTACATTTGATTTAAAGACGTACAAATAATGTCCAAACTATCGATCTTTCCTGTTAAAAGTTTGTCACTAATTTAATTATATGTAAGTTTTAGAAGAAAAAAAATTGTTTCTGTTTACTTCAAATGCAACAGTTTTTTTTTTTTTAAATAGCTGATAAATATTATATTATACATAACGTTATGTCGTCTCATAGCTAGTTAATAGTGCCGCATCAACAGGTTCCATACAACTGGGGCAGACTAGGTTTCGCATTAACCAGTCATCAATGCATCGGACGTGATATATATGCATGCATGGCAGATACCGCACAGCTTCATTTACGCAAAACTCAATCATGCATATAACACATTCTCTAGTTTTTTTCGAACTATCGTATGTACCTTAAATGTATTAAAGAATGTTAAAAAATAATTAAATTAATATAAAAATCTAGAGAAAAAGCAAATGTAAACAATATAATATACAATATACAATTTATAAGAATAACCAATAGTTAACAATTTAATTTTTTAACAAATAATCTAACTGTAATTAGAATTCTTTTCCAAAAATAGTTATTAAGTACAACTTAAAGTTAAAGTCTTAAGATGTCCTCTGAAAGCTATAAATTATTTCCAGCACCCATTTCAATTGTAATCAGGTTCTCTTATAAGTTTTCATGGACTAATAATTAATAAAATATAAAATTTTAAAAGTACATTTGTTACTACCTATTGGTAAATGCTGTATAAGTCCAATACGCTTTGCAATCTTTACTTGTTCCTCTTCTGTTAGGTTCGATGCTGGACGACTTACAGATGGAGACGGGTAATAAACAGGCTGAAGGATCTCCTAAAAGAAAGAAACAAAATTCACATTTTAACTGAAATATATAGGATTATCGTAAATATAATAATAATGGACTATCAATGGATAATAATAATGGAATAATGGACTGTTTACTTATTTTTATTTTAAAACATGCAGAACAAAATGCAATTTTTGTGTATAAAATTAAGAATTAAGTTAAATATTGTTAATTTGTATAATACATATTAACAGCTTACAGAATACACTGGTGTAGAAGCGTTTTGTTCAAAGTCTTGTCCATTACTGTTTTCACTACTTCGTAATAGTGATACATCATCTGAATTATTTATCTTCAAGCAATTTCCCATAATGATTATACGATTTAATTCTTGTAATTAATTCCATTAAAATAATGCTAAAATTGAAACTCTATAACATACAAATTAACCTATATATGCTTTAATCTATAAATGACACCCCGTTCCTCAATATTGCAAATATAGTATTTTCCTGCCAATAATTAAACAATGACTTTTAACTAAAGAAAACAAGCTGAAAAGCGAAACTAAATAAAAATAAATAACTCTCCGCTCTTAATTTTTACTCCATACATGGTCAGCACACTTTGCTTTAAATTTCAAATTACATCAGTGTAGTATTTTTTTTTAAGTCAAAGCATACATGGAGAATGGAGATTTTTGAAGATTAATGGCTGTGTGCGAGTTCGAGTAAATTGATAGTAAATTGAGGGAAATAGCAAATTATGTCGGTATGGCAGCGAATGTTATTGGTATTTATCAGAATTTCGAGTAGGGTAAATTAGGCAAATAAGGTATTACCATTGTGAAAATTGCATAAAATATTTAATAAATATATAAATAAATTTGAAAACTTTTAACCAAAAATAATAAATAAGTGCAAAAAATAAATAAATAAATATTTACATAAGTGTAGCGTAAAAAATCCATAGGAAATTTTAATTTATTTTACATCAATTTACTCGAACTCTCACACGGCTTATATAGAATAGAAACTTATTTGAGAACAACAACATCTAACAATTGCACTCTCAGAAATTGCATAAATACCATCTCAAATTATTCAAATACTTGCAATTATTTGCAAGTTCACCATTTTTAGGTTCGTATTCGGAGCGAATTTGTTGAATAGCGCACTGTTAAGAAAAATTTCATGGGCAATTTTTGTTATTTGTTTTGATTTTTTAACAAAAACACATGATTGCACTGTGCCAAATTTAAAAAAATAAATTACAGCCGAAATTATTTTTAAAAAGTAGTAAAATTCTTTTGCGGTAAGAATTCAATGAATTCTGTATAAAGTAGACTACAATTTGACTCGAATATTGAGCGACAATGGAGGATTTTTAGAATATATTTATTATACCAATTTACCAATTTCAGCTGGCATGCTATAGGGCAAGTAGTTTTAAATTGAATGGAGTAAAAACATTCGCAACTCAAATTATACGACGCCTGAGACAGGGAACGTCCTCTATTGAGACTTCCTCTACTGCGTTTTCCACGCACCGGTACAAAATTAGGCACCTTTCTAGTCCGAGCATTTTCTTTCATTTGCAGTACATGACCAAGACAGCGAAGGCGCTGAATTTTTATGCATTTACCTATATCAATGTCGCTCATCGTTCCATCTAATTTGATATTCGTTGCCAACGCGTAAGGGACTATAGATCTTCCGAAGAATTTTTCTCTCGAATTCTCTTAATGCCTTCTCATCACTGTTGGTAATTGCCCAGGCTTATAATAAAGGACTTTTAGAGCATGATTTTTGTTTGTTGAAAGGCTTTATTTCTCAATTGCTTATTTAGTCCGAAGTAACATCTGTTAGCAAGAGTGATTCTTCGTTGAATCTCTAGGCTGACGTCATTCTTAGTGTTTTCGCTAATTCCTAAATACACAAAGTCTTTCACAACTTCAAATAATTGTAAACAATGACATGCTTAAGAAATTTAATTGTTGACAGAAAGTACCCTGTTTTGTCCGCATTTACCATAAGATTCATTTGTTTTTCTAAGTTGGAAAATACCGCACTGACATCGCGGGTATCCAGTCCAATGATATTAATATCATCGGGGTACGCAAGCAGCTTTACAGTTTTGTAGAATATTGTGCCAGCGCGATTTAATACAGCTGCTCGGATCATCACTTCCAATACTAAATTAAAGAAGTCACTAATTCCAAATATGAAAGTTTATATTAATCGAGGAACTGGAGACTTGGGATTTCAACTAATACAGTTTCTTACAGGCCATGGATGCTTCTGAAAGTACTTATACCGATTCAGACTGGCGAGTAATCCAAATCTATAATTGTGCAAAATCTATTAATTACACAATAATTATTGCTTAATTGTGTGATGCGCGTTCATATGCATTTTGTGCTCTCCCTTTAACTTTCGCTCACGAAATCTCTGGATAATTTTACTACGAGTAATAATCGCAAATCCGGATATCTTAAGGATTAACAAAAAATTCCAATATTTTTAACTCCGGAAACTTCGTTGCTATCCGATTAATCGAATAGCTTTGGTTTTTAAAGTATCCGAATAATATGAATATAATGAATTTGAATATATGAGTAGTGCTATTCTATAATTTAATAACCCATATGTCATGCAACGATACTATAATTTATAACCAGAATATCGAGGAATGTATTCACAAGATAAAGATAGTTCTGAAACAAACTGCAAAATATCAAATAGAAGAAATGTCATTTTCTGAAAGAGAATACTTACTTTTTGGGTCATGCAGTTGAAACCGGTAAAGTTTGACCATGTCAAGAGAAAATACTTACCGTATGTAATTTCTTATTCTAAAAAACAAAAAAACCGCACAAACATTTTTTGTTTTAACAGGTTATTACAGAAAAAATATATAAGGATATGTATATAAGGATATGTACCTATCGCCCATTAGACGTGACATTTAAATTTGAAACATCAGTCTTAAAAATTAACTGAAGATATACATCTAATGTTTGAAAAACATCTGCATCTTGTTTTATTTTGGGGTAACGACACTTCGCTAAGAAACAGAAGTTTTTTCAATATCTTCTTGGTGCTCCTTTTAAGTTGGTGAAAGACTGCGCTACAGTTACTCAGACCGTTAAAAAGGAAAATTGATGAAAAATATCAATGACTCCTACACGGTAGGCACCGTGTACAGGCTTGCTGACTACTGGTTTCCTGCTCACTGTCTATGCAATGGACGGAAAGCCCGATTTTGGTCTGGCTCGTAAGTACAAAAAAGAACTACCAGTAGTCGTGCTGTCTTGTAGTCTATGAGTATGCATGTGTGTCTTTTTGGGTATATGTTGGAGTGAATGTGATTAAAATGAACGTAGATGTAAAGGTCCACTGGCTTACTGGAAAACAACATTTCTGATGAATCAAGATCGTCCTTACGTAGTGCAGATCCACAAATTATGGCGGATCTAGAGAGGAAAAGTCAGTGAAACCCGCACTCCTAAGTATTTGAACGACCATATGCAATGAATGAATGGCATTGCGTGAGTGTGTCTTAGAACGGTGAACTCCGGATACCTGACAACTTCCGGTTTCCAAAGTACAAGGGGCTATGCTTCAAGCGACACTTCTCTCCTATGCACTCGTGAGAATACGCATGGGTATTTAAAAAAACTTAACAAAATGGAAAACAAATACGGAACTTGGCACCAGAAAATCGTCGCATCATACTTATCACATGATGTAGGTAGTAGCAACCTCTCTATGCCTACTCCCATTATAACGAATAAATCGGCAGACAAGCGCGCTAACCATTGTGTGCTTGTTGTAAAGGCAAAAAAGTCTGAGGCAAAGATCAGACACCAAAAGTACCAAAAGTAATGTTCATTCTTGGCAAGATGGCTAGAAATGAAGCTGAATGCATAGTGCAGGCGTTTGATCGTACAGTGGTACGCGGCTACAAGGTTTTCAAGTGTGGCGACCAATTGCCCAAGGAATTTTTTGGTAACTACATTGTTAAGGTAAGTGATGCGTGGAAAAGTTTAAAGCTTAAGTTTATCTCAGCCAATGAAATTCTAAGACGACCCAAAACGGCTTGCATTTGACTATCAATCATTATAATTAAACACGGGAAAGTACTTCAACTTCCCCAGCGGCAAGGACGAGAGCACTTATAAAAAAATAAACCCAGAAAAAATAGAAACGATGCTGTTTACCACCATAATCAAAATATTAGCTTTCAGGTTGCCTTTATTAAACGGACAACAGTTGGAACTATCTGTAAAAGCCAAATATTTAGGAATCCTGTTGGATAGTAAGCTAAACTGGAAACCCAATGTCGATCTTCGAATCAAGAAAGCTTGTGTAGCTTACTACTCTTGCAAAAGGATGTTTGGCAAAAAATTGGGGGATGCATCCTGTTTTTGCACATTGGATGTACACAGCCATTGTACGTCCAATTCTCAGATATGGTGCTGTTATTTAGTAACCAGCTCTAAGTAAGAGCCATAATATTGAAAAACTCTTCATAATTCATAGGAAAGCATGAGTTGGCGTTTAAAGGACCCCAATAGACACCTTTAACGTAATGCTATCCATTGTTCATTCATAAATATTGTTTATAACAGCGTTGTTAGGCTGAAAGTGACAAGCGTCTGGTCGGTATGTACATATGGTTATAGAAGGACCCGTCGGACGCCCTTAACGTGTTGCTACCAATTAATCTTCCATTCATAAATATCGTTTGTAACAGCACTGTTAGAATGAAAGCGACAAGGGTCTGATTGGAATGAACATACGGTTATAATCAGATTCTAGGTACAGTTCCAAACAGTCTATATAGGATGACGTCGAATTATTTAAATCCGTGCTTAGACTTTAGAATGAATTTTCAGACAATATTCCCTCCAACAAACGAATGGAAAATAAAAAACTGAAGCAATTTACGATATCTTAATATATACGGATGGCTCGCAAATGAACTGCGAGGTATGAGCATGGATCTTCGCACCATCTGAAAGCATAAACAGTTCTCTTGGAGTACTTAAGAGGCCATTGTTTTTCAGGCTATATTTTAACAATTAGGGACGCATGTCGGCAATTTGCAACAAATGTAGTATTGCCATTTTCATTAACAGTAAGGCAACCATGATAGCCCTTGAATCCTTCATCACAAATTCAAAGATAGTGAAAAAAATGTAGAGAGACCGCGTAAACACTGCAAGGCTTACTGCAGTTCTTTCTGGTCATTGGTGTATAAGAACCCACATAGAGAAACTACGCATTCTTTATAATCCCCACTGCAGAAGTTGTGAAAGCCTGCAGGAAAAAGAAACCATAAACCACTTTCTCTGTGAATGCCCGTGTTTGGCGTCCAGAGGAAATAGGTTTTTAGGAAGATACTTTTTTTAAAGTTTATCAAACTGTTCATCGGAAAAGACGAAAGATCTGTTAAATTATCAAAATTTGAAGGGATAGATTTAGCTCAATGGATATTGCACCTACAAGACTTGAAGTGTAAAATAGACCCTCGAGCTGGAAAAAATATTTGCATGTTTAAACTGTTATTTACCGAAACCTTACCATGTTTAAAAAAAGATTAGCAAACAGACTATTTTATAAAAATCATGTGAGAGGTACTAAAAACTCGTCCAACTTAATGACAAAAATGTCTTACAAATTAATATCTCAAATATTAAACGTAATAAAATAAAAATTAATTATTTGGACACATATGTGGATCAGTGATATCTAAACAGACAATGGATATAAAAACTTCTCTCACAAAAGATCGTGAAATCACAGTTGTGTTGGCTTTTTGTGTGTCACATTTGTAAACGTGCAAAAATAAAAATTAAAATGCACTCGCACAGTGCAGTACGAACCTATTACAAGGTGTCAGAAGTGGGGTCCTGGTAATAAAAACATATGAGGATTGACCAGTTAACCGTGGCCAGATTAAAGGTGCTGCTTTAGAAGCTGGGGCTTAGCACAGGTGGTGCTAAGACGGGGATGCAGTTAAGGCTGCGTGAGGGCTGTATAACCCCACATATTTCCATATGTAGCTTTATAATTTTAAATAAAAAATCTCATCCTCATAACTGAAGTCAGGGAATCATACAGTTAATGAATATAATATCCTAGGGGAGATAATTTCAAATTTCTTCAAAATATTAGCATAAATCAAATGTTTGACTGAGCGTGTTAAATAAATTGTTCACACAGTGTTCGGTATGACGAGCATAATGAGATGCATTTTTATCCGGGTTAGAAGCAAAAAACAAAAATGTTGCGAAATTGACACTATGTCCTCAGCAAATTTTTTTATAAGCAAAATAATAATAAAACAGAAGCACTGCGAGCATAGATATTGAGCTGTTAACAGACTGAACATCTAAACATTTTACAAAGTAGACAACAAATAAATTGAACTATAACAAAAAAGGGCTCCGCTACCTATGAGATTGATATTAAAAACAATTTTTAAGATTTTGTTTTATCTGTGTATTACAAATACATATATAAAAACATTATATTGTATTAAATATTTCAAAATTACTGTTTAGCGAAATATGTTGAAAATTTTCCTTGAATTCATTTTAGTTTATCATTTCTTGGCTAATTCGGCTGACAACCAATCCAGTCCTTCATATAGTCCATGGCCTTGTGTTGCACATGTTGCTTGAATGTACCACTAAAAAATAAAGAACGAAAAGGTTAAAGGTATATTGTGAAATATAATATTTACTATTAATAATTATATAATATAATGAGTAAATGTTGTGGATTTCATAAATTTGTTCTCTAAACGACGTCTTTACAACAAACAAAGTTATAAAGTTATATTAAAATGGTCCGAAAAAATTCTTTGAAGGAATCTTAAGAAGTATCAGCCGCTCTAGGTGGTGGTTTCAATACGTTGAAGTTATCAGAAGAGTTAAAAAAAAATAAATTACACTTTCAGAAGAACAAATCCAAGAGAAGGTCAGATAGTGAATACATAATATTATCTAGGAGTTCTCACTTTTGTAAGTCAGATTTTAATGAATTCAACCGAATTTTCGAGGACCAATTTTTAATGCAGAATAAAGCACCATTGCAAAAAGCATCATGGTACATGAATTCCTTACTAAAAAAGGCTTTTAATTATGTATATACAATCAATAACAAATTATTAAATAATAAAACGAATACTCTCTAAACGAATGGACAAAGAAAAAACTTGTAGTGAAAACAAAGTTAAATCTAGGAATAATAAATAAAAGAGATATATTAGATCGTGATTGTTGTAAGCATTTGAAAAGATGTTCAGGTAATTTAGCATTAACCAAATTGAACAGGAACAACTAGACATGAATCTTTATGAATTGTTTAATGTTGCAACCTAAAATTGCAATCCTGAAACTACCTAAGCGATCATTCGTCTGAGATCATAAAATATCGCGTCATGGAATTGATTAAACTTTTTAACTTAGCAAAAGATACCACTGCTTTACCAACATGCAGCGAGTAACAACAGGGGTATATTTCGTTGATAGATTAAGACATCTACGACATGCGAATACTTTCCTAACTGCTTAATTTACATGATCAAAAGAATGAAGGTTAGTGTTTAGGAAGAAACTCAAACATTTAACAGAAGTGATGTATTTGATAAATGATAGCACCTGAGTGCATCTGAGTGCAATCATTTATCTGAGGCAAACCATTTACATTAATTTTTAATCTTCTAATTAGCAAAATAGTTGTTTTTTCTTAATATTAAGTAGCATTAAGTAGTATTTTCTACGGTCCAAGCGTTAATATTCACTAAATCAACTTCTAACTTAGATTTATAACAGCAGTAAAATCACAAGAAATATACTTTTGGGTGTCATTAGGATACTTATACAATTTAGCATATTTACAAATTTAGAAGACATCATTTATATAATTTGAAAACAAAAGAGGACCCAGAATTGACTGTTGCGGAACTCCAGTACAAAGAGTTTTAAAAGTCCAAAACTTATCCGATACAAAATAACTGAAGATAAATTTTGTTGCCGACTTAGAAAGAATGATTAATGCGATCAAAAGCCATAGAAAAATCAGGTAGACATAGATATGTGACCCAGATTTGATCATAGCTGAATCGAACATCCGTAAGCACTTTCAACATAGCAGTCGTACAGCCATAATTCTTTCTAAACCCAAATTGCAGAAGGAAGAGAAATTGAAAGCGATCCAGGTGACGACTTGCATCAACCATGATACTCTCACACACCTTCGAGAGGAAAGGAAAGAATGCTTATTGGGCGATAGTCAGAACATAGGGTGTATTCGATTTTTTTTTAAATTGGAATAATTTTTACAAGCTTCCATGCATTAGGAAATGTTGCAGTAGTAAAACAGTGATAGGAATAGGAAACACAGGATTGGCGCTCAAACTATTACCAACAGATGAAACAAAATAATCATTTGTTATTGGGATTTAAGGAAGACACAGTTGTGGAGCTTTTTATAATTCCCAGAGGTTTAATATTATTCCAAAAAGATTTTGTTTGCTGATTTGGTTTTCTAAATAGACGAGGAAGTTAAAATCCTAGCTACTTTAAATAGCATGCATTTGAATTTAGTTGGTTATTTCTTCGAAACAGCAAATAGGTTCGCATGAGACCGAATTTTCATACTCGCGACTACTCGAATTGTGTATAAAAAAAAATAATACGAGTATCGCACGAACAAATAAGGACTATCCTTGTATAGAAGGAAGTGAAAACAGGTGGACAACCGCAACAAGGCGGCACTAGTGACGAGTTCAAATGCTTTGTTTGAATATAAATTAGACATATATTAATAAGAAAGAATTTTTTGTTTTTTTTAATTAATTTGAAGTGTAGTGAAGAGAAATTGTGTGTACAATAAATAATGTAGAAATGTAATAGATGCTCTTCTTTTTCGTCCGGAAAAAGGACGCCCCCATTAAACCTCGCAACGCAGTACCTTACTACGATTTCGGGTTGGTCACCCTTAGAGTGTTGAAAAACGACACTCAAGACGGTCTGTGGTAACCTTGAGGCCACCTCTGAACTAACCTCCGATAACGGAGCTTCGGCAATCGCTAATCAAAACAATTTCAAAAACTGAAAGAGCGACAGAATCAGTAATTCTGGAAATTGGTTGGCTTCTCTTTGACTCCCTGGATCTCCATTAATATGGGCAAATTTACAGACTCTATTTCGGTGCATGATCATGTGTTTAACATACAGAGGAATGTTGAAGTAGTTGCTGGGTTTTCTAGTTTTAGTAGTAAGCTGTTATTCAAAGCCTCCTTAATTTGATAAGTAAGGTTCTGCATACATTCTTCCAGGTCCACTAAGATTTCGGGTTGGTTCAACACACCTCCAACATCTACCAGTGAACGTGATAGTCCTAATGTTTAAGAATCAGTTCTCTAAAATGAATAGTACTGGCTTATGATCCGAGTCCAGCTCGTCTAAGAGTTAAATATTTAGTAGGTATGTATATGTGTTTATATACTCGGTCTGACAGTTTTAGAAACACGTTTTTAATTCTTGTATGTTGTTGGATGTTACTTTTATACACTATAATATAAATTTTGTTAACTTTTTTTTAAAGAGTAAAGTGTATCTTAATTAATTTTATTTAAGGCAGCTAAAATTGAATTCATACAGCTTTCACGTTTGTTTTCTTGGTCTTTTTTGACATTATTTGAGGAGGTTAACTAAATTCAACACGTCTTGAAATTATTGTATTGAAAGAGCAATGAATTATGTTATAAAAAAAAATTTTGTGTTTATGTAGTAATATTAAAATTTAATAAAAAAAATATTGGCAATCAATATTATTTATAATTTACAAACAAAATTTTAATAAAGACTACTGCTAGACACCGTGTGAGATATTTTGATTTCAAAAATAAAAGTTATTCCTAATTTTAATATTTTTAAGGCAAAAATAAAGTGGTTTGTGCGAGTTTTTGTTTTTTCTTCTTTTTTTTGTGTTTTTTGTTTAATTTTAAACTTTACTATTAAGGATGAAAGTTGTTAAAATGATAACTATATACTTAAATAAGAGTTTTGACTTTTTGATGCCGTTTTTGAAATAATTTAAGAGACAATTTTAATCAAATAATCTTCGAAACTTACATGACGTTGCCTTAACTGATTCAAACGCAATTTATCGGTAAGTTCAGCTGCACTCATAGCATTTGGTAAATCTTGTTTATTGGCAAATACCAACAATACTGCATCACGTAATTCATCTTCTTGCAACTGTAAAAGGAATATATTAATTAATGAAAATACATTTTAAATATTCTATTACCATGTTTTGAAGTTCTCTTTCTGCTTCGGTAATGCGGTCTCTATCATTGGAGTCAACTACAAAGATAAGTCCTTGAGTATTTTGGAAGTAATGACGCCATAAAGGTCGAATTTTGTCTTGACCACCAACATCCCAAACAGTGAAGCATATATTTTTGTATTCTACGGTTTCCACGTTAAATCCGATTGTTGGAATAGTTGTTACAATTTCTCCCAGTTTTAATTTGTAAAGTATTGTTGTTTTGCCTGCAGCATCTAAACCAACTGAAAACAATGGAAAGGTAATAAATGCATCAAGTCAAAAAGTATCTTCCTAATCACAATTATCGATATTATCGTATGTGCGAGGCTAAAGCAAAAAATAAGTCACAATACAGTATTGTATACATATTGTAATTATTAGTTACTTAAACTTAAAGCCGGCTTTTTTGTATTATGTTTTATTTAATTAAAATTTTATATCCATAATTCTGAATCATTTTGGTTCTACTTGATATTGTATTTTTGTACATATTTCGCACAGAAAACTAATTATTCATTGAAATTATTTATTTTACCCATTAAAATGCGCATCTGTTTTTTGCCAAAGAGACGTGTCAACAAACTTGAAATTGTCAAACCCATAATAAAGCTTATTCCTATATCAAATTACTAATTTTATTTAAACTTATCTTCGGAATTTGTTAGAATACTAATGACGGCAATTCTTAATCGCAGTAATAAAACACCAATTCGTAAGTAACACGTCTGCTTTGTTGACAAAGAAACATTTTGGATGTGCATGAAAATAGCTCCGACCATAAGTCAAAATGGAATTGGAACAGTCTTCGCCGCATGAGAACTTCAATATGTATTAATTTACGAAAAATTTATTCATTTATTAACATTTATGCTGGAAATAGCATATTTCAGTAAAAAAAATCAAATAATTTGCTATGTATAACCATTTTTCATCTCTAATTGGCCTAATTTACAGGGAAAATAAAAACTAAAAGTCAGGCAAAAAAAGGTTGAAATAATATTTCGTTGAAATTCAAATATAAGTTGAAGGATATCTTTTCAGCAGTTAACCCGTCCATATAATTTTTCATAATCCATTTGCAAAGCGGGTAAGCTGCATCATCAATAATATAATAAGAAAGTTTAAGAAGTGTAGCTGTAACCCTTTCTGTTACGAAAGTCTGCAGCAACGTTTTGCGGTTGTGTAATTGGTACATGATTGCTATCTATAACACCAACAATGTTTGGCAATTTAAATTTTTGTTCAAATTTCGAGTCTGTGCGTTACGTTTTAATGCATATAGCTAGGATAATATTTTGCCGACAATTTGTAATCTTACTCTATGCATTTTCAAAATATTTAAAATCAAAATTTTTGTTTACTGTTTAACATCTGATTGAGTGCTATCTTAAAACCGCACATGAATTAAAATGTGCGGAAACACTCTAAGAATAAATTTTAAAATAAGTTTTAAAACTGATTTTAAGACTCGCGTAAACGTAGTGAATATCTTTTAAACTAGAAATGTCAATTTTTTTACGTATGTCATTTTGAAGAACATAATTTAACGTTTAATATTTATAACTTACTTAATTAGATTTGACACAGTATTACCACGATAATGAAATGTCATAATTAAGTTCTAATTAATTTATACGTAATTACTTAACCAAAAATTATAAAAGAAAAAGCCCATAACAGTATAAATTTTTTTTGTTTTTCCAAATGCAATATTTTTATGATGAAATAATCATCTTCAGAAAATGGAAAATAAAATTTTTTTAAATTACTAATAATTTACTAATAACTTTTATAGAAGACATACTATTTATACAAAATATCTTTCATTAGATATATAAAAATCTTTAAAGGAAACATAATTATTTCCTTTAAAAATAATCGAATGTTAAACATCAGTAATTAATAATTTTTTTAAAATCTTTTATTTCACTACAATATAAACCAAAAGTCAAAAAAACTTGAAGTAGAAATGATTTTTAGAACAATATTTTAGCAATAAAAATTTTAAATAAATAGAAGATAAACATTAAATATTATTCGCAAAATATTTTATTAATAAGTACAAGTTTTTCACAAATTTTAATATATATTGTTTCACGCACAAATTAACGACTTTAGCAAACAACTAATTGTTTGTTGCCACACTTCGGAGCTGCCGGATAAACCTAATATTACATTTTTAAAGAACATATATGTATTATTTCTTTTTCTAATATAATTACAAGTAAACATAATTTATGTTATATTAAATAAAATATTACGTTTTTATTTATATAACTAAATTCGAAAAAAAAACTTACTGATGTATATGATATTGTGAATTTTTCTTATATATTTCTTATTCTGCAGCTTTAACAACACTATTGCACAAAATTTTATTTTTGCGTTTTCTAATACTGAATCGCGAACACATGGTTTATTAAATTGATTTGCTTTTAATATTTTAATACGGAATTACAATTTTGTTAAATTATTTTAATTATTTAGTTGACTACAGTACTGAGTTTTCACATAACTAAATTTATCATTTTATGGACTATTCGAATCTATTTAAATCATTTCTCGCACCATTAGTATAATCAAGTAATTCGTTTTTGATTCAATTAATTTCGTTTCTCAACACTATTTATTTATTTATTATTTTAAATTTTTCATTAAGTATTAGTTAATTGAAATACATTTCTCAGTCTCAGACTGTAAAAGAGTTACACCCTAAAATTTTCTGGAAGTTATATTTTATGCAAATAACGCTAGTTAACAGCCAAAAATTTTCCAAGACGAGACTTACATTTTCTGTAGTAAATTTTTTGTAGAACTTGAAAATCATAATGATTTTTTTTTATTGTGTGCGAAAAATCGTTATTTTGTTTTGTTTCAAAACATCATTTTTCACATGTCTCCATAATGTCTTTTGGTGCAGCTACTGCATACAGAACGCGGATTTCATTAATTTATATTTATTTTGTATTTAAATTATTGTGGTAAAAACAAAAACTTGCCTTTTAACTTAAAATATAAGAAAAATGTTGTTGGAAGTAACTATGAAAAGTAAATAATTGTGCATATAATTCCACATTTATTTTTGTTATTATTTCGTATTTTACTTTTTAATACATTGTGAAATTATAGCAAAAAATAAATTGAATTGTCAGTGCAACACTGAACAAAATGTATGATTATTATACCATACATTGCCCTCGATATTATTAAATTTGCAGTTATTTAATAATATCTGAATAACAATAATAATAGTCCATAATTTAATTAATCAACGAACCAATGTTCTTATAAATTAATTTTCATTTAAATTTCGCAATGGCTAAATGCTTTTTTGATACAGATATGAATATGAAATTTAAATTATAATTCCAATTGATATTTGTTTACAATTTTAGTTTTTATTTTCACATTTCAATGCTTTTCAGCATTATCCACATCGCCGGATAAATTTAGCGAAGAGATTCGCATGATTGCTAATTTTCCTAAAATAAACAAATAAACAAAGATTTTTACGAAGAGATTGGAGTCTAAGCGATAGCGATTAGTGAAATCGGCCTGCAGTACTGTGTCTACATTAAGTTAAAGCTAAAACATGTACGAATATTTTAAGATCCATAACGTCTACGTGACAGCCAATTAGTTTAGCTGCTATAGTTAAAAATGTACTGATAAAAATTAAGAACTATTAAACACAGAAATATTAAAAAAAATTTATTTGATTGATCGTAGAGACTGTTTTAATACTAATATTTTTAATTTTATTTTTAACTTCTAAATAATTAGTTCTTTAAATCACATCAGCACTAACCAATATCTGTATTAATGAGTCTAATACGAAAAGAGTATAAGTAAGTATGAGGACTTTCAGTTTTATGTACAAGTCAGATGGCGTTAAGGAAACAAATAAGAGAGTCAGAGTGAATATAAGTGTCAGCAAAACTCGAGCAGAACTCGAGCGTTAAATAGTCATTGCAGTTATTTGATTTGAGCATAACAACTAGGCCTGATATTCTACATTTTGTAAATAAATTAGCGAGATGCCCTCATATTAAATACATCCGGTAATTAAACACATCCTGCGATACTTGTTGGATAGTTCTAATTTAATTTAGTATTAAAACTTTCTCTCTTATACCATAAGAGATGGACAATGCACAGGTTACTTAGACGCTGATTGGGAAAGCAATTTTCACGATAATAATTCATCTGCAGGATATAGCATTTTCCTGTGATATAGCAGCTATGCTATTTCATAGGAATTTAGAAAGCAGGATAATAGTCAATATTAAAGCTGTCATGAATGGTTTCCATGTACTGTTTCATTAACATACATTCGAAAAACAATAAAGGATGGTGAAATAATTATTTGCTATTGATGAGATAATAGCTGATATATACACTAAGAGTTTGGTTAAGACTAAGCATTACAAATTTGTTTAGAAATGAATATTGAAGAAGTATAATTTGAATATTAATTTTGTGTTGATTTGTAAAAATACAATCGCGTTGAGGAGTGATGAAATTGATTATCTTATAGTGCACAATACTACGTAGTGTGCATATCTTCTATATGATTTATTGTAATTCTACTTTTAGTCATTTTGTAGCAATAAAACTAATATATTTCTTTACAGAAAGATTAATATTGTAATGGAATTAGGCATGTCAAGCTGAAATTGAACATAATTTATTTTCCAATTATTTTGCATATATTAGTAGGAGAATAAGTTAATAAGAGCTGTAGATATCATTGGAAAAGATTTATTTAGCAATCTAACGGTACGAATATTATGAATAAAATCAATAACAGACGAAAATTCACTACAATTGGTGGCAAAATTGATATTGTCAAAGAATCCTGTTTTAAAAATGATTAAGCTTGGCGATTTAAAAAACTCGCAGTTGAAGATTAATTCGTCAACGCCCCGAATTTAAAAATAAGAACCCTCTTAGAAATCTTCGAGCTCCAATTGGAATAGATATCGGCGACTAAATAGTAGAGTGTTGAAGATAAAATAGTTGCATTATTCACTTTGATAGAAGGTTCCGTAGCAGATGTATTATAAATCATTCCGCGACATGAAAGGGATAATTAAGTTGCATTCCTAGAAAGGCATTAGAAAGGCATTTTGGGAGTTAACACAGGCTATATATATTTAAAATCGAATTACAAAGTCAATACCAAAAATCCGATGAGTCCCTTCAAAATTTCGTTGATAACTGACGCATTTGCCAAATGTAGATCCATCGGTAGACTACATCGGGTACGTAAAAATACGGATTTACAGAGAAAATATGGCGTTGCACTGGCACTGCCTAAAATGAGATTTGATGAAACGGTTTCACATTCACCTTCTGAAAAAATTGCATTACTCGAAACTAAGTCCCAACACAAAGTTAATAAAATGAAAATTGAGAGGAATATTCAGTGCAAATTCATAATTTTGATGGAGGAAGCCTTACACGAGAAGTCATTAAACTGAAGCGAAGCTAGTCGAATGTAAGAGAGATAGTTCCTACAGCTATTTGCGCTAGAGTGCCATTGTCACAAGAACAATCTTTCAGTCAACTAAACTGTGAATAGTCGTTAATTAATGCTGACTTTGAATAATGTTGCGTCATATTCAATTATCCATCCTGGCGTAATGGAGGGAACAATCGAACCATTATCGGATTTCAAACTTCAAACAGCAACAGGAAAGGAAACTCAATCGTGTGTACCATGGTTTCGATTAGCACTGTGGTGGAAGTC